TTCGTTGATGATGTGTCACTGGTGGCGACTGGGCACTATAGAGCTGAATGCCTTCTGGGGCTCCTCGAAGCCTACTGCAAAGCGACGGGAATGGCCGCAAAGCCGCCAAGTGTGAAGTCCTCATTTTCGGGGGCACTACACGTGAGCGGAAGCGGCTAATGGAAGCTGAGTACCGGGTAGCCGAGGTGCCGGGTTGCACTATGGCCCAGGAGCGCAGTTTTCAGCATGTGCAAAGCAACTACTCGCAGCAGGGAGGCGGGCCACGTTCGGGCTCAGCACTCTGTGTCGAGATAAGGAAATTACCATTCCCAAGCTATGTATGTCTCTCTTTAATACACTAGTTGTACAGGTGTTTTTTCTAAGGAGCGCAAGTTTGGGGACCTGACTTCATGAATGTAAGTTATGTCCTATAGCCTTCATGGCTTGCTGTACGGTTGCGTTCGGGGTGCCGGATAGGACAGGGCGAGGCGAAACCGGGGCTGCCAAGGGCCTTACACTACTGCAGAGTACTAATTGCTGCTCTCGGAGCGCCAGGGCGCGTGTGCGCCGAAGCGCGGTCTAGCGCCACACGGCGCGGTCTGAGCGCACGCAGCGCTGTCCAGCGCGGCCACACCGGCACGGCCGAAAGAAACTGACGCACGGCACTAGACAACTAAACGCAGCATTAATGACTGCGTCCACTGGTCACCCGCCCCGAGGGCAAACCTGAAGCGTCAGCGACGCACGAACCACACCCTGGCCAGCAGGGCTGGCCAGGCGACATTCCTAGCGCGCAACGATACTCTATAGGCACTTATTTGCCGTGCGGTAATCGCTGTACAGCTGTGCGTCTGGCGCTCCGAGGGGACTGCCTAATCACCGGTCTCCAACTGGGCCGAGCCTGCCGCTTATAAACGAGGGACACTGAGGGCGGGGGGGGGGGGAAGTGAGAGCAACAATAATAATAAGCTCCAATAGTGTAGGCAGAATGCCGGAACTTTGGAGCTGTCAGCTGAAATAGTAAATTCGAATTCTCAGCAAGCCATACGGCTGCCGTACATAACCTAGCTTAGAGGCTATACTCGCTTTGCTCCTGCCGCATCTAAGCTACAATTATGTCCTATAGCCTTCATGGCTTGCTGTACGGTTGCGTTCGGGGTGCCGGATAGGACAGGGCGAGGCGAAACCGGGGCTGCCAAGGGCCTTACACTACTGCAGACAGAAAAGATAGCAGGAGGGGCCCTCTGACTCAGGCGAGGCCCAGGTTGCGCGTGGTTTCCAGTGCGGCATCGTCTTCCAGCCGGGTATATAGCTGCACCATTGCGTCCGTCTTCCAGCGACCGTGGGCCTTGCGGGCTTCTTCAGATACCCCTCTGGCTGCTGCCGCGCTGTTTCCCCCGATGCGCATGGAGTGT